GGGCGGGACCAGCCATGCGCCCGGGGCTGGCACCTGCCAGCCCAGATTGCTCCGCGGGCGCATGTAAAGAGCCCGGCGGGCGCCATGGCGCCCGCGGGCACCGGGTTGGGGACCACGGGTCTACACTATATTCCCCTTATTTCGAAATTACAAGTGGTGCGTCCACACTGCCAACCCGTGATTTTGAAATAAGGGGCTGGTTATTTTGAAATAGTGGTAGTGTGGATGCTCCACTGCTGCTATTTCAAAATAACTACTCCCCAGAGCCATTCAAAGTAATCACACTCGAGTGATTCCTGGGCTCTATGGCTACGTCTACACTGCATTGTAGTTCGAAATCAGATACACAATTTGAGCTACGTAAATTGCGTAAATTATTTCAATCTTATTTTGAAATAGCTTATTTTGTAATTTTGAAATAACCCGCTATTCTGAAACGTTCCTTACTCCTTGTGAAATGAGGTTTACAGGGATGTTGGAATAGCGAACCCGAAATAACAGGATTGCTTTTAAGACATGGGATAGGTATTTCACTGCAACTGAAATAGCATTGCAGTGTAGACATAGCCTAAATTGAGGTAGTGCATCCACATGAAGGAAACCTGCCTCAGACTAATTTTGGGGCTTGCCTGTGGTGTGGACACACTCTTACAGGCCTTCAAGCGGCGACACTGTCCTCACCCACAACTACTTCCAATTCGGAGACAATTTCTATCTCCAAGTCAGCGGCACATCCAAGGGCACTTGCATGGCACCACAATATGCCAACATCTTTATGGCTGACCTTGAACAATTTTTCCTCAGCTCTCGCCCCCTAAAACTCCTACTTTACTTACGCTACATCGATGACATCTTTATCATAAGGACCCATGGAAAAGAGACTCTTGAAGAATTCCACAAGCATTTCAACAACTTCCACCCCATTATCAACCTCAGCCTGGAGCAGTCCACACGAGAAATCCACTTCCTGGACACTACTGTACAATTAAATAGTGGACAAATTTCCACTACCCTATATCGGAAACCCACCGACGGCTACACTTACCTTCATGCCTCTAACTTCCATCCCAGACACATTTCCCAGTCTATTGTATACAGCCAAGCCCTAAGATAAAACCGGATTTGCTCTGACCCCACAGACAGAGACAATCACCTACAGGATCTTTATAGAGCATTCCTAAAACTGAAATACTCACCTGGAGAAGTGAAAAAACAAATTGAGAGAGTCAAAAAAGTACCCAGACATGAACTACTTCAAGACAGACCCAAAAGAGAAAATAACAGAACTCCTATTGTTGTTACCTATAGTCCACAACTCAGACCCCTCCAACGCATTATACACAATCTACAACCCATCTTGGAAAATGAATCCTCACTCTCAGAGGCCTTGGGAGAAAAGCCTATTCTCGCTTACAGACAACTCCCCAACCTGGGTATGTCTACACTACAACGTTAATTCGAACTAACTAAGGGCTCAGGGTCGGGGGTCTCAGTGGACCTCCTTGATTCTCTTGCACACCTGCTCCTGGGTGGCCAGGCTGGCAGCTCTCCTGCCCTA